TCTTTTGCTAGACTGTCGCTTTTCTTTGCCAAGTACCGTATTTACCCGTGTATAATACACGCCGTGTATAATACGCGCCCGTGTATAATATGTGTCCGTGTATAATACGCACCCCTGTATAATACACGCCCGTGTATAATACGCATCCTAATTTTTGACTTCTTTTCTCTAAAAAAAAGATTTCAATACAACCACCAAGAATAAAAACTTCCGTTTTTCCATTTCATTCACAAGAGCTGGGAATTCATTATAAACAGGTGTTTATTAATTTCCGGAGTGTTTTTTAATTTCAGGAGTGTTTTTTAATTTCCGGAGTGCAAATTTTACGATTATTTGGCTCAAAAGTCCTTAACATAAGACTATTAATTGCAAATGGCATTTCTAGCGATTAATAGTCTGAAATCGTCTACTATCATGAATAATAATCGTGGTAAGTACGACTATTAATCGCGTACAAACTCATTAATAGTCGTGTTTGACTGGCTTTTAGACTTAATAGTCGTACATCGCACGGTTAATAATTGCATCTGACAGCAAATGTCCTAATTTATCGCGAGGAAACGTACTCTTCTCCAAAGAAAGTTCAAGCTCAATCTTTTTTTGAACGGCCGCCATTACGACCAAAAATTAAGAATTCAGTATTTCTTCGCACATGGCCTTTTAGGCAATAAATGTCACATATTTGAAGTTTTCTCGGATTCAAGTTCTCAGTGAACTTCATTTCTGTTCAGAAAGTGTGTTTATCAACTAAGTTTTCTTTGTTTTTCACTCTTCCACTTACGGTGTTGTGAGAGACGTAATTAACATTTCTTCTCGATGATAATGTACACAAATACGTTAATTTTCGACAGGTTCCATTAAATTGAAGTTTAACCGAGAAAAAATGCAGACAAACAGCCAAGTAAGTCAAAGTACGTTAAATTCTTCCCAATAACAGCTTCTTGTGAAGCTGGACGTAAGTTTACGAGCAAGCGATAGATGAAGACGGCGGCGGTGAAGGGTGCCAAAGATGGAATATGGTAAAATTTTTCATGCTTGGGTAACTTGCATCCTCTTGCACTAGTAGTCTTGGAAATGCAGAATTGGAAATTGCTAGGCTTAATCCTTTGAAAGGAGGAAAAAGGCAATGTTTCATTGATATCCTTTCCCCGTTTTGTTTTGAAGATACGTTTTACAAATGTTGTAACTTGAAGTCCTTATTAATGTATCTAAATTCACAACTTGAATTATTATCATAACAAATTCATAAACATTATCTCTACTCACAGCACTGTTGGTAGTTTGAATATCATCACTGCATTGCGTGTGATTTAAATAAAATGTTAAGTGTCTTTACACAACGAAACCTTCACATTCCAACTCGAAGTCCGATTCAAATAGGTTTTCGATGACTCAATCATCAAGTTCATCAATGATCTCAGTTGAATTGTAAACCAATTCATCTTGTGATCCATCCGAATTGTTTGTGATCCCACGCTTCAGAAAAGAGGCAGCGATCATTTCTGACGGAATAGCTTTCCATGCTTGCGAAATCCACAAACAGATCAGTTCCTCTGAAGCCTTCTTTTGTCATCCAGTGGTGGTAAACTCATGAATTCCATCAGTCATCCACTGCTTTCAGACTCCATCTTTAAACGGTTTGTTCAAAGATACGTCGAGCGGCTAGAGAAGGGAAGTTAAGCCACCAGGAATCACAGCAAGTTCAGTGTTCTCGCGTTTGGAGGACGCGTTTACAGTATCTGTCACATTTGCTTCAAATAAGTCGCAAACAAGCAAGCTGTTTCTCCTCCCTAGGCCACCGATCCGCGCACTTTTACTTTTATTGTATTTTTAACGTATGCAAATTAGGACGTGCATCACAAACAATAGAATCCGTGTATAATACGCACTGCGATTTTGATGGTTATTTTTATAGAAAAAAAAAGTGTGCATTATACACGGGTAAATACGGTACATGCACAATAAGTGTCACTGTGGATTTGTGATTCTGTGTCCATTTTCATACTTGGTGAATTAAAGTTTGTTCACACTTGGTCAAATGTGGAATGATATAGGTGCTGATAAACTTCGGTTTTTATTTGTTTTTTTTTTTGTTGAAAGTTGAGGTCCTTTGGGTTGCCATTGATGTGAATTCTTTCTCAAAGCATGTTCTGGTTTTTGCATTACTTTTGGAATTCTTGCAACACCAAAGGAAATAGGGAAGTCCTGTTCATCATCAATGACAACACATTGTAGTAAAAGAAGTATCTCTAAAAAAATCACAATTTAGATTGTGATCTTAGATCTTTCTCTTATTCACTTTGTCTCACTTAAATGACACCATTTAGCTTTAGATCATTTGAATACTTGTGATGTGTGCATACTTATTATGTTTAACATTTTTTAGAATTAAAGACAATGTACCTCTTTTTCTGTTTATTAACAGGAAAAATTTTAATTTTTAGGAAAGGTAGATGAGGAGCACCAAACTATCTTCATCTATAACAAAGGTAATTTATTCGCTCAAAAAAAAAAGATTCATAAATGATTTGTGCACAATTATTTGCAGTAGAGTCTACAGTAGCATTGAAACATAAGTGCCCACACCATTTGAATATTCATCAGCTCAGAATGCGCTTTCAATCAACTCAAATAAAAGTGATGTAGAAACACTTCAGCAAATATTAAAAGAACAGCAGTAATTTTTAATTTTATATGTAAAAAAGACTTGCATTTAAGTGGAATTTAAAGTCTATTAGAGGGTTTTAATGGAGTTAACCATTAGCTGTAAAACAGCAAAATCAACTTGCCCCTTGGCATGAAAATTAGACAATTTTAACCATTAGTGGTAAAAAATGTAACATTTTTTCTTTTAAAAGTAACAGAAATAAATAAATCATTGGCTGTAAAATCTGTCACCCTATTATTGTTTTATTAATCTTTGTATTTGCAAGTAAGATTATACCCATGCAAATGACTCATCTAAAAACTACAAGTGTATTATATTATTAAATTGTCCCCTTGGCAAGACACATAAACATAATTCATAAGAAATGATTGTACTTCACTTGCATCCTAAGGATGCCTAGTGTCTCTAATAGCCCCAACCATATGATTTTGCAAGCGAGCAAGCGACCAGAGGTATTTAATTTGACAGTCTGGACTTGTCTATTGATAATTATAACCCATGCAGTAATTTTCGCAAAACTCCTTCGGCTACTTTGTCACATGGTGCAAGATTATTGCACAGTTATCATACAATAAGCCCCGTCTAGGTTTATATTGGTCCCCTGATCATTTGTGTCAAAGAGAAACACAAGAGGCTTAAAATAAGCAACCCAAGACTCTCACTTTTTCATCTTTATTACTCCACATGTAAGAAAAACTTGTTTTGTTAACAGATAAAAAAAAGATTTCATATACTGCTTTGGAAAGTACATGATAATCAATACAGTGTGCAATCAACATAGAGTACAACAATTTATAGGAAGGTTGACATGACTAACACTCTACTGGCTTGCTGAAGTATCTGCTGATAATGTCCTCTGCATGGAGATTGTCCTCCAAATTGCATATTTGCCCTCAAGCTTTTCTTCTAGGATTCTTCTGGGATTGATTCTCTCTAGTACGCCTTCAGAAGGTCTACCACTGTCTGTTTGTCAAGCCTTTAGACAGCCAGACCCTTGATTTCCTGTACAGCTATGCTTTCCTTAATTAAGTAAGCATGATTTGTAAGCCTCTGCCATGTGCACTTGGTTGCCAAATCACTGATCCAAAAGTTTCATGCTATGGTGTATGCGCTTTCAGAACTAGCAGGTAGAAATCCCCTTACAATCTCATTTGCTCTTTCTTCCGTGTATTTTCATGAAATAGAGGCAATCTTTATTTGATGACCTTTTTTCTGAATTGATGAAGTCAAACGCCCTTGTAAATACCATCGAAAACACCCAATAGTCAAAAGTATTTCCTGATAGCAGATAACAGGTTGTTCTTTAGCTGACAGAATGTTTCGCTTTTGCTGTTCTACTAGTAGAGAACTAACTTCTGCTTGTTTGGTCAGCAAGTTTATTAGTTGCCCTAATGTTTCTTTTAAAGGTGTTTTGTAATGAATTGGTTTGATCAATTTCTTGCTTAATTGCAAAATCTTCTCATTGTTGTGTTTTCATTGGCACCATGGAGGGCAAACTGTCAGGATTGTCTTGAATATGAGTTGGCGTGACTTTTGGTTTTGTTTCTGCGGTTTCTCATGTGTGATGGATTGTAGAGACTGGGATAAATGATGGATTAAGTGGCTCTTGTTTTATGGCAATTTCCTTTCATTTGTTGATTAGAGCCTCATTAATTGCTTTTCTTTGGCTTCAGTGATAGCGATTTCCTCCATTAACTGCATTCTTCTTATTTCACTGTTAGCCTTGCAGTCTTGGTGGCTCATGATTGACTCAATTTTGGTGTTTCCAGTTGCTTCAGAGAGTGAATTTGTTCTACAAGTTTTAATCTCATTTCCAAATAATTTCTGTCACAGCTGTTGTACCAAAGATAAGAGGCTTTTCTATCTTCTTTGTTAATAAGCTCATCCTATGCTCCATGAGCTTTGTTAAAGGCATCTTTTAGTTTGTCTGAGCGATCTCTTTCTTCTTCTTGAGCTTTCAAATCCTTGTTTTGGTTTAACAACTTACAGATGTTTCCCATGTGTGTTGAGCGAGCATTTTGGCATGCTTTACCACTAATTTCTGTCCGACATGTCTTACCTTTTTCTGTTAATTTCTTTTTGTGCCCTTGCGTCTTACCACCTTCCACATCAGAGTTTGAGAGGTGCTCAATGCTGGGTGAATCATCCCATTGTTTAGAGTTGGTCTCTGTTTCTTAGATTTGGTTTTGTTGTTCCACATTTTCTCAGGATGAGCTTGACATTTGAAGAGGTTTGATCCAACAATTCATATTAAGTGTCTTTTACTGTAGCAGCCAACACAAGTGAAGCAAAGTTTTGATAACAACTATGAGTTTCACAAATGGAGACAAACTATGAAGCGAGAATATATTTTATGGACAGGCCTTAATACATTTATTTAATGTAGTCAAGGTATCCAAGTACTTATCATAAACTGAAATATGAATATTATAAGGCATCACCCAGAATGCAATTGTCTTTCATGACATGTACTTTCATTACCCATTTACCCATCAGCGAGTGGCATAATAACTTGCATATCTTGAACTAGTCGGCTGTGATTGGTCAGCAGATTAAGCTTTGGGAATACATGAGTCAGATCTCAGATTTCAGCTGCTGTCAATCAAATGGTTGGATGCGTAAAGAAAATCCCAAGGTGAGATAAAGTGAACAATAGCAATAATTGACAATAGCCACACTGTTAACTTAGTGTTTAGTAAATTCGTTAGCTGTGAATTCCTGTTTAACTCTATAGACTGACAGACCCCCGTTGGTCAAAATGTTATTGGAATTCTAGAAATTAGTATCATGGAAATAGAAAATAGAGAAATATAGTAATAGTATCGTGAAGAATAGGCCATTTAAAAAGCGTAACTCACAATCAGGTGGTTTTTGAGTGCAAAAGGCTTGCAGTTGCAGACTGAGAACAAAAAAATGCGTAATTGAAGGCTATAAAAGGCAGTGCTCAGAAAGCCAGCTAACCTGTGGTCAAGTGAAATTTTAGTTTCATTCAATCTTTGTCTTAAATGTGGTTGTGGTGCGCTCCTGTAATAAAGAGAATAAGGAGTGTGAAAAAAATAGCCTAACCACAGTTTTATAGCGAGCGTGATGCATGGGTCACTTGCTTTTACTTGACACTTGCGTTGTCATACTTCATGGAAAAATTTTGGTGGCTAAACAGGGCTTTTCTTCCTTGTTTATCCATCAAGAAGAAGGGTTGCACTATGACAGAAAAACAACAATTGCAGAGACTTCAGTGGAACCCCGTCAATACCGCCACCAATGGGCCATGGAAATCTATCCATATTGGTGGGAGTAATATCATTGACTTGTACTTCACACTCATGCTCTTTTACTCCACCAATTAACGCAGTCCAACCAAACAGAAGAAAAAACAAGCAAACTAACTAACAAACGGCTGCCTTGAACAGGTTGATGACCAAGGGAACAGTTACAAAATTATTCACATTTGAATCCATTTTGATTAATCAAAACATGTAAATAGTACAGTTTCGTTCAATCCAATCAGTTGGTAAAACTTATTTTCAACAACATGTTGAAGTGTGCGAGACATCAACCAGGCCTTTACGCAACATTATTGAATGATTTCTGCCATAGTGGCTTTAATTTGAAATACCGACCAAAGGTAAAACCTACTGTTATGGGTGTTTATGAAAGTCAAACATATTGTAGCAAAATGAGTTCAAGGAGGCAGAGCAGTGTACTTCATCCAATGGCAAAACTACTCCCAAGTGAAAGTACGTGAGACCCAGCTGAGCACTTGCCCAAAGAACTCATCACTGCCTTCCAGAACAGATCTTTCGATTCATTTTGTGCTGATGAATGCTGAGAGAGACTAGCTCTTCTATTTGCGATGGGTTTAAAATCGCCTCTGGCATGAAATGAAACTATCATGATGTGGCACGATGTAGTGCGAGTACTCTTTCCTGGTTTGCTGTCAGACCTCCATGGGCCTCTGTACCTTGCCATTGAAGAAGAACTGATAGCAGCAGGCCTTAGTCCTTATCTGAAGAAGTGTCTAACAGTAACAGGCAATGGATGTTGCATTGATCCTCTGGTCAACTTGAAGCTGCTTCTTGGTAATTTGCTTTCCTTCATAGATGAATAAGGCCACAAAACAGCTCCCTGCCCAGTAGAGAAAGTTCAGATCGATTTTATGAAGAGTCATTTTGCTGAATGCATCTAGTGAGCAAAATGCTGCTTTTAGCAGCCACCAAACGGAATAAAAGTTTAGGAGCAACAGTGGCATTCATTTGTAGCTACACAGTTACTTATTGATAAGTTGAGACAGCTTTTCCAGATAACATATTTATTTAATTTCTACAAATATACCATTGCGGCTCCCAGGATGACACTATGTCTGTGAACCTACAGAAAAAAAGACATTGGTCTTAATTCTTAACAGTCCAGTTGTTTTTCTCTGAATAAACTTTTCTGATGTTGAGGGCAGATTGGTCAAAAAATTAGACGTAAGTGGATAATTACTAACATCATGCCACAACTTTGGGCTCAATTACAGACTTGAGAGAGTGGTGGGGATCAATGGAATCACGCCTACGATAGCTACAACTAGCATTATTGTTCATTTTGCCTGAGATACATTTTTTAAGAATACTTAACGCAAAATAGTCATTTACTGGTATTCTGGTTCTCCAGAATTTCCTGGATGACTTGCTGAAAGGCCACAAACTGGAGTGCCAGCAACACCATAAACATAAAGTCCCTGTTTAAAGTTGACAGCTAACATACAGTAATGAGTTCCAGAAATGACCACTAGAATAATAAACTTCAATTTTTTTTTCTCTTTGAAGAGCATAAAATAAATCCACAAGATACTAACCATCTCACAAGGAGATCCATTTGTTGGGTGACCTAAATTCAGGGATATTAAAAAGATTTAGTCCAAATACATGCCATTTGCAAGTTTCAAAACATGATTTGTGAGATTTCTCTGTTTGAGAAATTGATATGAAAATAGATATTTATTATTAATATCTGTAGAGACCCAGTGTCTCTACTTTGTGATCAAGGACAACAAAATACTTAGATATGTGTTGAACTGTATTATTATTCCATGTAAAGTGGCAAACAAACTTCCATCACACCGAGCAAATGAACTGGAACAAACAAATAAACTAGCTAACCAACAATTAACCAACGAACAATTCACTGAAAGGAATACAATACACTGAAATTAGGACATAATATGGCGAACAAAGAAACTAGCCAAAAAAATAGACATATATGATGTACTGACAAGTTCTTTGTGCTTAGATTACAGAGAAACCAAATAAGCTCGTAAACACAAATTTCAAAACATGCCATGTGCTTTCATCAAACTCAACATCTCAAAATGCATAAGCAATCAACGAGGCCAGCAGCTCATTGTATTTAAGCTGTCCTAAAGTGTCCTACTTGAAGCCAACAATATTTGTTGAAATAAACAAGAATAAATTCTACTTACACCATCTGACTGGGTCAAGTGCCCTTCCAGTAAATTAAACTTGCAGTAAATTAGTAATCAGCAAGGTTAGCAAGGAGCCATGTCAGCTTGAGGTTCTGAATGACGCACTTGTTGTGCTGACTGTTGTGCAAGTTGTTGGACGGTCTGTAACAAAGCTTGCTTAAGAGGGGTGTGAAATGGTTGAGGAACTACGTGAGCTTTGAATGATGTACACGTATAGGGTGTTTGCTGCTCACTTACCTGCTGTTCTGGAGGGGATGAACTCTCTTTCCTTTTGGCACTTTAGGACAGCTTAAATACAGTGGGCATGTTGTCTTTTTCAGTGGGTGTACAGATGATGCGTGAGATTTCTCTGTTTGAGAAATTGATATGAAAAGAAAGATTTATAATTCACATTTGTAGAGACCCAGTGTCTCTACTTCGTGATTAAGGAGAACTGAATACTTTGATACGCATTAAACTGCATTATTATTCCATGTAAATTGGCAAACAAACTTCCATCATGCCAAGCGAATGAACTGGAACAAATAAGTAAACTAGCTAACCAAGGATTAACCCACGAACGATTCACTAAAAGATATACAATACACTGAAATTAGGAAATAATACAGCGAACAAAGAAGCTAGCAAACAAAATAGACAGATATACGATGCACTTACAAGTTTTTTATGCCTAGATCACAGAGAAACCGAATAAACTTGAAAACACAAATTACAAAACATACCATGTGCTTTTATCAAACTCAACATCTCAAAAGGCAGAAAACAGTCAACGAGGCCAGCAGCTCACTGTATTTAAGCTGTCCTAAAGTGTCCTACTTGAAGCCAACAATATTTGTTAAAATAAATATAAATAAATTCTACTTACACCATCTGACTGGGTCAAGTGCTCTTCCAGTAGCTTAAACTTACAGTAAATTAGTAATCAGTAAATTCTACTTACACCATCTGACTGGGTCAAGTGCCCTTCCTGGTACACCCCCAGCTCTTCCAAAAAGTTGGAAACGTGGCTGTTAGTGAATGTGAGCTGCAAAATGAAATGTTTTGTGATCTTTAAAAACTATTCTATGTTCAAAGCTGAGCTCACGAATATGGCCTAGCTGCCAAGAGTCCAAATTAGGAAATAAAGAACTATTTACCGTTATTAACTGATCTTGAGATGACATGGTACTCAGTCTCACTGCTCTAACACAATGCGCAGGACAAAGGGACTCAGAGACTCAAGAGGTTACGAAGACTAAAAACAATACTTCCGCCAAGTGGTTGTTTGCTAAGATTGTCTGCTTGCGTTCATTTTACGCAAGAAAGAAAATGGTGGCAACAGCAATTGAAATGCGGAAATTCTCAACATTTGGAAAGACCCTGGAAAAAGGTACGTCTTATAGTAATGATTATAAAGCCTATTTACTCGGGAATGCTCTACAAGTCCATCTATATATTTAAATTCTCATTTTGTTTTGCTGTTGTGAAATAAAATGCTTTTTAATACTTGTTAAGGATGGTCAACGGGTGTTTTATATTTGAATCCAGGCTTAAGATAACTTGGATTCTCATCAATTTACATGGTGCTATAAAAATTGGAATAAAGAGGAAAGGGAATAAAGTATTTTCATTATAGGGCTACTTCACCCACCACTCATTATGTTAAGCTTGGATAGAAACTGAGGAGAGCCTAATGGTATAAACACAGGCTCATGAATTGGTCATTGCTTTCATGTATTTGGTGGCTCCTAAAGGAGCCGTTGAGTCCCGTATGAGTGCAATGTCCAACACCACCATTAGACCTACGAGTAGTGGTTAGCTCCTAAAAGAGCTGTTTTGCTTCTTGGTACTTCAGTTTCAGGCTGTCACTCAGGTCTTTGTGGTAGGCAAAGCAAGGCATCAATAATGTCTTGTTTGCGCAGGGTTTTTTCTGTTGACAACATTTCCAGTTTTACTTTGAAGGAGTGCAAAGTTCTGTAACTTTTTTCTTCTTCAGTTTGCTTTCATTCATCAGTTCTTTGTTAGCAGATTCATTAGGAAGATTTGCAGATTCAGTAGGGAGTTGTGCTGGCTCAGTGGACAGTTATGCAGATTCAGTGTGTAATTGTGGAGATGTTGAAACTCTTTGTACTTTTCTTGCAGATGTCTCTTTGCCACCCTCCACCCAATAGGAGAGCCTTTTCTTTGTGTAGGGGTACTTGGCTCTTTCTCTTTCTCTTTCTCTCAGTACTCCCCTCTGCTTTTCCACGAGGAGGTTTGTTGCAGCATCCCACCTGTTGATTTTGCAGTGGAAATACCTACAAAGATAGTCATTCTTCTTCTCAGCTCCTTTAAGAATAACATAGATTATGATTAACCAGGTTATCTTTAAGAAGTAAAAACATAAGCTTTTGGTTGCCAGCCTGTAGCCTTTGACAAATAAGTAATACCCAGCTAAAAAGAAGGTGTTGTAGAGAATTTAAAAGGACAGAGTATTGTTTTAAAAAGGACGGAGTTATTTTCTGCCTCAAATTTCTGCTTCATGATGTCAATCCTTTGAAATCTAATATAAAAACAAATGACCATATATTGTAATACATACCTTGGCCACTGAAGTGCCATAAACACGTTTTTTTTACGTTTACATACAATATAGAAATTAAGAAAGAAAGAAAAAGAGAAAAAGACACACGCACACACACACTAAAGTCCTGCATGATATCACCTCGTTCTGCACGATGGGAAGAAGCTAAGCTACATTGTAATATGGGAACCAACGTTCCAATCATTCCAATATAAAGATGATCTGAAAACTAGCTAAAAGTAAAAACAAACTCACACAAAGACTATATCGTTAAGAGGATAAAAGAGAACCACTTGAAAACAAACTCCAACAGAAACCAATAGCCAAGTGGGAAAAAACATATAGTGTTCTAACAAAGTACAAACAACGTGAGCTAAGGTTACAAGTTTGCAAAAATGTCAAAAGGCTTGCAACATATCTAGCAGTAGGCTCTTAAACTTTGCCAGAATTAGGTCAGGGCCAGTTGATGAGTCAGATTGTAGAAGCTTCAGCTCATGTAAAACCTCATGGAATGTAACAAGCCTTAATGTAAAGGTGTCATTTCCTGTCAGACTCTTCATGTTGTGATGCATTTATGAAGTCTATCGGATCTTCTTTAGTATCCAATGTGTCAACACCAGTAGTCCTTGTACCTGTAACTGGAAAGTGCTTGTTGAGGGCATTTACATTGCACCTCAAAGGTGTTGGATTTGGGTGCAATATACAGTAGATAACCTGCCATACCTCTTTGGGCTTTTTGAATGAGAGATTTTGACAAAATTCATGTATTTTCCCTCAGGGTACAATTGTCACATATCTATTTAAAAGGACTGCGTGCTTTAGCTCCATAGGTAAAATATCAATACAGTGAGCATGAGTCAGGGAAAGACATTTCTCACACAACAATCTCTTACAGTTACTCCATACAGTTTTCATGCAATTAAGGCATTTGATTGTAGCAGATCTTGTTTGGTTGTGGCTTGGGCTAGGGCTGATGTTGACGTTGCCACTGGTACTTAGAACAAATATGGCTGGATTAAAGGAAGCTGTCTGCTTCAACAAATAAAATGTTCTTCTCTTTAAGAACTTCTTTCGTAGTAAAATACTAACAGGAGACTGAGGAGAAACAGCTTTCCATAGCATATTCAGCTTCTCTGACCTGCCAGAACAATTAGGCACCAAATGAGTGAGAGGTAATTTTTTAAAACCCTCTGAGAAATATTACTAGAAAATAGATCCTACTGAAGCCATTAATTATTTGGAACCGATTTGCTGAGGAAGGGCCACTTAGAAATAGAAGAAATTGCAAGAAACTAGAGTAATAGACTGCAGCATAGAAAAGTCAATCTGAACACCATGCTGACCTCTGACCAAAGACTAAAGGTTCAAGAACTAAACAACTCCAGCCTTTGCTTAGTGACCAATGTAATGTTACCACTTGTTTCAGTCACAAGTATTTTCATCACATCTATTTCACTCCAAATTCCATCAACCTTTGCCTCAAGAAACTTAACAATTTAATTTGCGAGTTTGTTTTAATCAGGGAATGATTGTTTATTCTCCACTGTTAGGAGCTTCATTGCTCTAAAGAGCTTTCCTGAATCCTCACTGTTTTCTTCCATGAATTGCGTGTAAAACTCACATTTTGCTGCATTCATTATAAAAGTAGCTTCATTTTTTGCTCTTCATTAAAGCATCCAAATCCTCAACATGTCTCATTTTGCTCCATTTTCTTTCTGCTTTCCTGTGCAGTTTCCTTGCCTTTTTGATCACCTTGTTGTGCAGTGGGCAATACAACTTTAGTTGTGCTTTTTAAACAAGCATAAAGATCCAAAACTGAGATGCAGGTTTCTTACATATGTATAGAGAGAGCTGAAAACAGCATTTGTTATGTAGTGTGAAGATCCTTTTCTGGGGTAGGAAGAGGGGAGGTAGTGCCCTATTATTGGCTATTAATTCAATACTTATTACTAGATGCTATTTCCATTTTTTTCAATTTTGACTTGATTAAATTTTTTGTGTGGTTAAAGGGTTGAAGTGGGGTGAGTCATTTGCTGAATAGGCTGTCTTCTTATGTTTTCTTTCTCTTCGTTAACAAATGATTCCAGGCTGAGATGACTTTAATTATAAACAGCCCCAAGTGCCAGGGTGATGACACTTAACCCATGCAAGAAAATCAATTGCCTTTTTTCTTATC